AGAGCTAGAACACAGCGTGACCACTTAGCTCAACCTTGCATATCATCTTTGAAAGATCAGATGATGCAGGCTTGATACGAAATAACACTGTTTGGTGTTTATATCTGCATAGAGTTTACATAACTTTAGTAATTCCTTTTTTTCCCAGCTTTCTTGAAATATCATTGATATGTAACCCCTAGTAATATCTTAATCTTGGTTTTGCTCTGAAATTACCTTTCCATCCTCATAGCCCCTTGTAAGTAATGGGGGTACAGTGTAGATTTGATTTTATTATTTTTTTTTAATTTTAGTCTTTTTCTATAAACGTGTATTGAGCCCCCATCGTGTGCTAGGAAACATGCAAGTGTTCCTTTATAGTAGAGGTCACTGGGACACAAACTAATGACTTTTCAGGTTTTTGAAAGGTGTCAGACCTCAGGTTGAAAAAGCCCAGCAAATCTCAAGGAGGGCAATGCAAACAAACCTACAACCAGAGTGAGGGTAGTAGAGTGACAGTATCTCAGAATAAAGAGAAAATCTTACAGGCCGAGAGGAAAGGCAGGCTGCCTGCCGAGGGATGAGTTTGATCGCCTTGTCTTAGCCTCAGCAGCGTATCCTGCACTTGATATCAAAGTAGGTGCTGAAACACAGACCTGTTTTGAAGTTACAGAGACCCGCAGACTTGTTACCCTCAGATTTCCACGGAAAGGATTGCTGAAAGTTGGATTATAGCAAGAAGTAGGTTATGCCTTTAGAGGGCAATAGTGCAACAAGCACTATTATGAAGCACTATTACATGTTACTAAACTTAAATAATCTAAATAGTGACTGTGTCTCTGTTGGAATTTGAGCGTGAAATGTTTTTCCCATTGAGTGTGTGAGTATAGCATGTACCACAGGACGATGTTGTCGTCAGCAGTTGCCCCCAGAGACGCCAGTTGTCCCCAGATTCCCGTCTCCTAGTGCCTTTGTAGCCACCGTTCTGTTGTATTAGAGCAGAAGCCTCAGACACCTGTGTCTGCTGTGTGTCTTTCATAGTGGTGATTTCCCGGGTATTTGATTTAATCTCATGTGGTTTGTTCATCGTGGCCTCTAAGTGCAAAATCCGCTGCTCAGGTTGCCTTTGGACAATGATGAAATTACCTCACAACACATTTCTCAGAACCTCTTCTATTGTTGGAGTACCTTTAACTTACTTAGACTAGGAGGTGGTCTGAAATGCTTGTTTGTGATGAGTTATTAATTAGAGGTCCATGGGTGGAATTTAAAGCCTCTGTGAGCTTCTTAAAATAATCACAGGTTACATATTTTGTGCACTTGTGGTTTTTCTGCAGACAGTATTCATGAACTTCATCAGACACTCAAAAGTGCTGAAAACCTAGGCAAGTTTAAATACTGCTGGAGTAAGGTATTGTCTACCATTAACATGGAATTGCAGTGATACTTAACTAGCTCTGAAGTCGAGATATAATGATCTGAACTTGACTGTTGGATCTGTCCATTACCTTGTGGAACTGTTGTGACCCTGATCTCTGACGATATCTCGCCAGCACAGTCAGTATTTGATCGAATTGTTAAGATTTTCTAAAGCGCGTCATGACTGGGCTATCAGAAGAAATAAAGTTCCTAAGTGACCAATTTTAGTGTTTAATAGCTTTGTGCTGTCGTTTTCTTATTGAGCATGTTTTGTGTAACACACTGTGTGTGATTGTGTGTGTCTGTGTACGTGGCCGAGGTGGGGGGCTGTGTTCAGTCACTATCTCTCCCCGTGAGATTTGGTACTGAAACAACTCTCATCTGGTGACATGTACACCTGTGCTTTTATGATACAACTGTATTGGGTGTGAGATGCTTGCATTCATGTGTCATTTCCTCATTAGGTAATTATTTATTGAATGGTGGTGTCACGACGCCCCTGCATTAGGTGTGGTCATGGAGAGAGTTGAGTGTGGTAGTCCTGACCCTGAGGAATTACTTTGAGGTAGGATGGAGGGTGTCAGGATGTCCCCAAATCCTCAGGCTAGGGCCTGAAACCTGGTAAGGTCAAAGGGAGTCTGTTCCTAGGAGCTGGACCTGCCTTTCCCTGCGGTTGTCAGCAATTTAATTAAGAACAGAGCAGAACATGCGCTTTCCCAGGAAGGCTGCCGGAAGCCACCAGGCCTCCTTGGACACCCCCAAAACCTCAAGGTCTATTTAGTGGGTACAGTTCTGACCACAGTCACATGGCTGTTTCCAGAGCTGGTGCATTTCAAGGTAGACCCCAGCGCTCCTCTGTGTGCTCAGGGGGCTCTTCTCCCGAGCCCAGGTCTCCTCATGAACCCACAGTGCTCCCAAGAGCAGGTCCAGGGCCCAGTCCAGTCCTGCTGGGGGGAGACAGGCCCCAGTCCCCACCTTCTGCAGCTCCGTCTCTCTCAGGACTTGGCTCTCTCTCAGGGTGAAGGGGGGTGGTTTGTCAAATGGGTACCAAGGGCATGAGTATGTTAATATATGTCTTCAAAAGCAGATGGCTCTTTTTGCATTGATGGGCTCCCCCTCATTTTTGTGAACCGTTGAGAGACTCTCAGTTTTGATTGAATGAGATGATAATCTCTTTTCATATTTAGTTTAGAAAAGAATACCTTTATAGAGCTGAAATGAAATGATAAGGACAGCTCAATTTTTGTGGAAAATGCAGAATGTTGGATGATGTGCGGTGTAGCCTCTGCTCTGCCAGCCTCCCTTCCTGAGTTATTCCCAATTATATTAGGGCAATTAGATTATAACTCAAACTTCTGAAAACCCATTTAGAGAGATAAGAAATTCATTTAGCGGTATTGTGCTCTAAATTGTAAATGAGATTCAAGATTGATCGTTTAATAGGTTGGGGTTTTAAATTGAAATTTTCTCCCATGTTATTTTATATCTATATGATTCACCATAAAGATTGGTTTAAAAAGTTTCAAAAGCATTGATGTTATTTTTTGTAGTTAAATTGCGGCTACTATTTTTAAAAAATTGATTCTGGCCTCTTCTTTGTTTCCCTCAACTGCCACTTTCCTTTCTATTCCTAGAACTGGTTGGAGAGTTTCGATTTAGCCTAAAAATAGAATAAGTACAATTTTTATTCTTTTTTTTTTTTTTTTTTTTTTGAAAAGCCCAGTTCAAGCTTTTCTTCCCTGGAAATCAGAGTCCAGTGTCTGAGCCTGTTGTTATTTTCAGCTTACCTGTGAGGTGGGCATATTTCCTTACTGAAGGGATGATGGTGTTGGAGGACTGTGACCCCCAGTGTGAGACAGAAGCAGGGGCTGTCTGGGCAGTGGTGAGTTAGCTGGCGAGTGGGAACAGGCAGCGGCACCCCCTGTTTTCCGTCTTGCTCTCCGAGCCTGCCATTGCCTGGGCTTTTTCTGAGATCTGACAAGCCTCGCTCACTCAGAGGCCACGTGGCGGAGCCTGACGGTCGCTGCTGTGGCTGGTGGAGGTGTGTTGGTTTCTATTCGATCTCTGGGAACCCTCTGAGTTGAAGACCCCACAGTGTTAACTTGCTTCCCAGGGCTCTTGCCTACCCCTCTGGGCACATGAAGTCATTCTGTTTACACACATCTCAGGTAGATACTCAGGTAGATGAGCGTCTGCCCGGTGCAGGCTCAGTCCTAGGTGTGGGGAAGACAGGTTCCAGAGCCACAGGCGTTGTGCCCTTGGAGTGCCCACTGGGCTCTGGTGACTTTGTCACCCCGCCCCTTTGGTGTTCATTTATTTGACTTTCATGTGTTTGTTTCAGCCTCTAACTTAACAGTTGACTCAGACACCGTGGCTGCCTTCAGGGAGTGTGTCCGAGAGAGAGAAAGACATGTGAGGCTGGTTGCATGTTGGAAAAGGCAGAAGCAGTGGTTCTCCACTGCTGTGGCAGGAGAGCTCAGCTCTGTAGTGGCCATAACGGGGGCGTTTGAGCCACGCCTCTTGGGCCCGTGAGCTGTGGGGGACCTGGGAGTGGTTGTAGGCGGGTGGTTTCAATGATCCAGGAAAATGCGGGCGAGGAAGGAGTGAGGCGGAGTGTTGGGACCTTGACTGCACCCGTACATGTTCTGTAGGCAGAGGCCTACATGTTCTGTAGGCAGATTTTCCCAGGGTGACCGAGTCATAAGGCCCCCTGTCTGGGGGACATGCCCCGTGCCGGATGCACTGGTGAGCAGGGAGACCCGCGGGTGATTATCTTTAACTCAGGGTAGAGTCATGTGTCGCTTAAGGTGGGGGAGGAGGGACACCATTAGGTGACTCCATTGTCGTGTGAATGTCATGGTGTGTGATCACACACACCTGGAGGGTGTGGCCTGCACACACCTGGGCTGTACGGGACAGCCTGTTGGGGACCCGCGTGTGTGAGCAGAACCGCAGTGCATGACTGTGCCTAGCCGGGCTGCCCTTGTGTTTCTATTAATAGGAGCTTGCCCATCTCAGACGCCATTTCAAGAAAAGTAGGAGTGATTTAATCCCCTACGTCATCATTCAAGCGTGACGTTTACATTTTTGTTTCTGTTTTCTGAGCAGCTGAAAGATGTGAATGTGGACACTTTAGGGACAGTGTGTGGACCTCTCGATCCTTTCTCACACGTCTCTCTAGCTCTCTGCTTCAGCAGTCAGTGGTGGATAAGAATGCAGTTATCTGCTCTCCCTGAACCCAGAGAGATGCCCTCCCTCACAGGGATGGGATCAGTCAAGGTTTAGTTCAGAGAGAACAGATCTCCTTTATGTTTTGTGAGAAGAGCTTCAGAGAAAATCTGGAAGAAGCAGAATGGCTGCCTAGACGGGTAACACTGCCCCAAAGGACAGCGTCTTGATCTTGGGGCCAGGGGCCTCTTGAGCATGTGCTGGGGCTCACTCACTATGACTCCAAAGAAATCTTCTTCGGACGAAGTTAAAGGCTGCTGGCATGAAGGACATAGCAGAGCCCATCCTGCAGGCCATGGCGCCCGACACGTGCTGGGCCCACGGGGGGTTTGTGTCCAGGCAGCAGTGCTCACCTCAGGCTCCTTCTCTCCTAGGGCTTCCTTTGCTGGACACCTGGCCGGAATTCTCGTCGGGCTAATGTACGTCCACGGGCCTCTGAAGAAAGTCATGGAAACATGCGCAGGTACCGAACAAAACCCCTTTGGCATGACAGGAAGTTAGCAGTTCGTCTTAGTGGGAACAGACCCAGCTCCGGCTTTCCCTGGGGTTCAGGGCTAGAAACTCCCTAATGGCCCCTTTTAAGCCAGGAGGTGTAACAGTGGGTATATTTCCTCACACTGCTTCAAAGAGAGGCCACAAACTAGATTTAAAACCAAGCTTTCTTAGGGAACACACAGCGGGATGTATTTTTATCCTCAGCATTAATGCAACTAACAGAAAACCATGAGTTCCTTGAAAATGTAGAAGACAAAAGCAGGCTTAAAAGAATACATTTCTTCTGTAACAGTCCACAGATTAATATATGTTACAAGCAATGGGAAAAAGGAAGAATAAATCTGTACTGCAGTGCCAGGCTCCAATATCTCAAAGAATTGAGAGTGACCACGAGGTCTGCAGTGGGCGAGATAGATATTCACGCTTGGCCGGAGTTTGTCTGTTTTCCCTGAAGCTTGACTCCCGCTTTAAAAAAAAAAATACTGCTTTTTTTTTTCCCCTTCAAAGTGATACTCAGTGAAAATGCTTCATTTAGAAATATATGAATATTTTAGACCTCTTAATTTAAAATGCTATACTGGTTTTGACTTATAAGGAAACTGTTTTTGCAAACACTTGTTTTATAAACCATATGAGTTCTAACATTTCATCTTTTATTCATGGGCAGTCTTCTGAGACTGTTTTACCTTTTCTTCAGTCATAAATAATTTGCTTCCACAGACTGTGCCAATGACTGGTGTTTGCGGGGACCGCCAGTGCCCCCCTCGTCACAGAGCTGCCCACTCTGGACTGCCGCCTGCACTGGCAGTTTGTGCTCGATGTCGGGTGGTTTCTGCGGGCATGTGGCCTCCAAGCAGATCCCTATTTCCTGCACTTGCTTATTACTGCATCTGCGGAGTGTATGCTTGGAAGAGGCTTCATTTATTGAAAATGTCCAGCTTTATTATGTTTCTGATGCAACTTAATTAGGGACATCTCGTAATGAGCTTTGTTAGCCAAATGCGCTCAGTGCTGATAAAGAAAGAGATTCGACTCTCGGGAGCTTAATGTTGCGTTTCTTTTTCCTCTGTGTCTGAAGATGAAGTGGTTAGTAAATCTCTCTGCAGTCACATTATGGAATTCATGCAAGTATTCTGAAAGAGGGTTATTCCCCACGATTATAACACTTAAACTCTTTTCCTTCTTAAAACCCTGCCCGCTTTCTCTGGAGACATTTTTATATCATTCTGTTTTCAAAGTAACATGATAGAAAATCAGATATTAAAAGTTGAAGCAAACATTCAGGGCTAGTTACAAATGGGCTGTAACCTCTCTGCCTTCTTTCTGGGGAAGCTGGAGAAAGATCTAGATTGACCTGAGACGGGAGATGGCACAGGAGCCTTTGGAAATAACCGTGGGTGGGAAGGCTGCTGTCTGACACCGGGCGGGAGAGGAGGGTCACGCTGAGCATGCTGGTCTTGCCCGCTCTCCTGCCTCAAGCAGCGCTGACCTCACTGTCCTGCCTTTCTAGACACAAGAAAGAGGAAGGTCTCTTAGCATGGAGCCCGGTCTCCCTTGTCGGGAGCAGCTTCTCTTTATGGCCAGAGCTTGTATGGAGGCCTCAGAGCCCAAGTTTGCTCCCACTTCCGAAAATATCCAAAGGAAATGAAATCAGTATCTCAAGGCGATATCTGTACTCCCATATTTATTGCAGCATTATTTAAATAGCCAAGATAGGGAAACAACACAAGTGCCTGTTAATGAAAGAACACATGGAGAAAGTGTGTGTGTGTTTGTGTGTGTGTGTGTGTGTGAGAGAGAGAGAGAGAGAGAGAGAGAGAGAGAGACAGGGAGAGGGAGATTGATTCTGCCATTTGCAACACAATGAACCTGGCACTTTATACTAAGTGAAATAAGCAAGATAAGAAAGACAAATACTGCATGATCTCATTGTATGTACAATATAGAAATTTTGAACTCCTAGAACCAGAGAGTAGACTGAGAGGGGAGCAAAACAGGGAAATGTAAGTCACAGTATACATATACCTAGGTATAAGGTGAGTAAGTCCTGGGGATATACATCCAGCACAGTGACTATAGTTAATGATACTGAGTTATATGGGGGTCTTTGCAGTGGCCTAGGTGTTAAGTCTCAGCGCTATTACCGCTATGGTATGAGTTCGATCCCCGGTCAGGGAGCTGACCCATGTGGCACAGCAGACCTCTCCTGTCTGGCCCGCTGCTCCCCTCAACAGTGTATGTCAGTAGATCTGCCACTTCTGCTCCCTACTCTGTCTCTGGTGAGTCCTCTCACCCTCCCACCTCTGGCCTACACCCCAGTTCTTCTATGCATAAATAGATAAATAAATCTTTTTAATAATCACCAAATTATATACTTGAAATTTACTGAGCGTAGATCTCAAGTATTGCACACACACAGTAGTAACTGTGAGGCAGTGGATGCGTACCTGATGCTGGTAATCCCTTCACAGTGTGTATATATGTATGTATAAAATCAGACCTTTATATGCCTTTAAAAAATCGCATTGTGCAGCTATATACAATCCTATCAATCATGCTTTAGTGAAGCTGGGGGGAACAGGAGCCTCATGGCCACAATTGAAATGTTTGTTTCCCTTCATATTTAGGCATTTTCTCCAATGTTGGTTACCCAGGACAGAACTACTACTTTAATAGTTCAGGTAAGTACTTTATTTCATTTAATAGATTTTTAACTTATTAAAATTCAAGTGTTCATCACTATAGAGCTACTTTAAGGCAATGCTAGTTTATACCACTGTGGTGTCACTCACACCCCGTGTATACTTGTGCCTCTCACATGTCTCAAAGCTCAAGGAGGCATAGCCCAGGGCGCTACTGGGTGGGTTGGGTGGGAAGACCAGGGAAGGAGGTGGCAGGCATGAAAATACTGTGTGGTTGGGTGAGTTCTCTCAGACATAAGAGTCACCCGGGCCCCAGATCCCTTGACTCGCAGAGACCACACTGCTAGCCGAGTGTTAGAATTAAGTTCCAGACATGTAGTTCTCCACAGCCCACCCTAACTCCCCATCCAGAAGGAATCACATTTGCTCCAGAGACAAATAAGGTAGATATTCCTCCAATAGTTAGTACCATGGGACTTGAAGAAGGAAATGTACTTTTTCTAGATATCTGTGTAAATAGATGGACATGGGGTCAAGCATATGGCCTGTTTTAGGTGAAGGCCTTGCATTCCAGTCTTGGCGGTGTATATAGGATCCCATTACCAGCCCACAGGTGCTAAAGAACCCACAGGCTGGGTGTCGCTTGTGCTTATAGCAACTGAAAGCGTCTGTAGCTCACATCTGGCCTCAGCATTTCCGGTAAAGGGTCAGGTAGCTAATGCTTTAGATCTTACGGGCGTTACAGACCATATGGTCCCAAGTGCAGTTAGTCAACTTCTCGCCACAGCACGAACAGTTGATGACCACAGACATTTGATGACCAAATGGGTGTAGCTGTGTTCTATGAAAACTTTATTTAAAAAATAAGTGTGGGTCAGATTTATACCACAAATAGCTTATTGATCCCTGGTTTAAATAGTATAGGTTCAAAGAATTCTTGCAATAGGTACATAAGTATGTTGGTAAGTAGGTAGCTACCATAGATGGAGGGAGGGAGGGAAAGAGACAGACACAGACAGTGCTTTGCCTAGTGGCACTTGGCAAGTGAGACAAAGCAGTCTCTTAGTGCAAAAGAACTTTAATGGAGTAGTGTGCATAGAAAGAGAATAGTTTTCCAATAAAAAATCCAAAGTTACTCATCCCCTTCTGGGCAAATGCCCAGCCAAACAGGGTTGGCCCAAAGCAGGGCCATGGATACCTGAAGTCTTGCCATAAATCTATGGCACCTTCTGGCAGGGAACCATAGGAAAAGAGCAGAAGGGGTCAGAGAATTCTGGGACAAAAAGAGCAAAATCAAAGTACAAATCAAGGTCACGGGCTGCCATTGGCAGCCTCCCCATGGGTCTCACCCATGTTGCTTCCAGTGTCTCTCTGCACCTCTTGACCCCAAGTCCCCCAGCTCCCTGGTGCAAGCCCCCAACTGGGCAGCAAGTGTGCCCTCCTTCACATGTCTCTGCTCCACGTGTCTCCTCCTCGTCTTCTTCCAAGTCTTCCCTCAAGTCCCCTCTCACCGCTCAGCTTCACCCTTTATTAGGTGGTACAGGGAACATGGAACATCCCCTTTTAATTTAGACTCCCCTGTAACAAGACCAGAAATTCTCTCTCCTTCCGTGGGCGCCAATGACATTTCAGTTTCCAGAGCCTTTACTGTGCTATTGGGTCCACTCACGGGTAATCTCGTATTTGGGAGTTGGACTGTGTTGTAGTTCAGCTTTCAAAGCCTTTGCACTGCCTCCCCCTCTCCCCCTCCATCCATGCATTCATTGCCTGCAGAGTTCGGGGAAGAACCTAGAGTTCCTGTCAGTTGATCCTTAGAAAGAGGATATTCCTTTTGTGTCAATCCAAATTTCCATGTGGTATCATTTTCCTTCTGCCTCAAGAATGTTCTTAAACATTTTTTTTTCTGGTGCAGTTCTCTTGGTAATCAGTTCTTTCAGGTTTTGTTTTACTGACGAACTGAGGAATACCCCTTCCCTCTGATTCTCAGTCACACCGTGTTGAACCTTACCCGTCAGTCCCGAGGCTTTGCTGACATGACTTCCTGCGGGTGGGCTTCAGCGTCCATAGTTTCTAATGCTGTCTGTTCACTGCCTTCTTCCACTTTCTTTGTATCTGATGTCAATCCCATCTAGTAACCTTTCCCTTTCAAATACTGTATTTTTCAGCTCTAGAAGTTCCATTTAGTTTTCTTTTAAATCCTTCCCATTCTCTCCATTATAGTCATGTTTTTCTTTAAATATGATCTGATCATAGTTATATTAGCTGTCTCAAAGTCCCTGACTACTAATTTTTACATTATCTCTCTCTATTTTTTCATTAGAATTTTTTTCTCCTGGTTGTGGGTCACAAGTTTTCTTCTCTAGTAAGTGTTGATTGAATGATAGACATTATATAATTTCAAGTTGAAGCTGGAGTTTTTTCTTTAAAAAAAAAAAAAGACTAAGTTCTGATGCAGTTAAATTTCTTGAGCTTAGTTGATCCTCTGCACTTGTTTTTTTTTTTTTTTTTTTTTAAATTCTTTAAATTCTTTAGGGTGGGGCTAAAGTGATATTTACTCAAGGGTTAATTCTGTGCCACTACTGAGATGTTACTTTTTTGGGATCTCTCCTGAATGGCCTTTATACAGCAAGCAGTTTCTGCCCCCGACTGTTGGAACAAAAAGTTTTCCCAACCCTGCCTGGGCTCTGGGAATTTCTTGTTTATAGTTCTTGGTCATCTTGCCTGGTCTCATGGCATTTCACCTGCATACACATGACTTAACATTCAGCCAAATCTCCAGGACGCCCCATGTAGACTTCTAGAGCTTTCTCTGTACACATAGTCCCTAGCTGTACTCTGCCCTGCAAATTCTAACTTAGTTCTGGGAACTGCTGCAGAGCCCCCCCCCACCTCCACCCCCTTCCCTGTACCACAGTCTGGAATGTACTGCCAGGCTCATTTCTTTTATTACTTGCCTACTACACAGTGTCTGAAAACATTTGTTCCGTATATTTTCTCCACCCTCCTACTTGATTATGGTAAAAAGACTTATCCAGTCCTAGTTGCTCAATCCTGGCAGAATAGGAGTCCAGTCCAGCAGTATTAGCTTAGTGCATGCATGCTAGCCTGGGAGGGAGGACTAGGGCTGCAGTTGCTGGAGGTCATCCAGAGGAAGTGGAGGGTTAGATCCCGAGGAACTGAGTAGAAGTTGAGGAAAGCAGTTGGAGGAATAAGCCTTTCATTATTAAAAAGTCTCTTTGGAATTACCCAGAATGTGCTGGAATGACCTTGGAGGATACAATCAATAGAATGATACTACTGGAGTTACATTGAAGAGATGTTTTTGATGTCGTTCTAAAAGGTTGGATCATGAGCATCCAACCTTTTTGTACATATGAGTCTCCTGGAGGAGGTTTACAACATATCCCTGCCTGAGGTCACTGCAGATAGAGGAAATCAGAATGAGGGTAGAGACCAGAACTTGGACTTTTTTCTTTTAATTTTCCCATGTAATCATCATGGAATCAGGAACTAAATCATAGGCTTAGAAGTTTGGGGTTACCAGACTCAGAAGTTCTCTCATGAAGCGACTCCCCTCCCCAGGCTCTAACCTCTGCTGATTTGGATGCTGAACAGCCTGGAACATAGTTTTGGTACAGCCAAGGAGCAGTTTGTGGACAGCTCCGGCGGGCCTGCCCCTGTCGTGGCTCACCAGGAAAGGAGGTGCGAGACTAGTTACCCAGAAAGCGTATGCATTTGGAAGAGCTTGGGATCCTTGGAGTTGCAGGTGATGGAGACAGGTTCACACTGACTTGAGAGTAAGAGAAGCTTTATTCTGTCTCCCACCGCAACTTCTCTTCCTGATGATTTTATTCTCTCCTCTAGGCAGAAGACATTGTCTCTAACACCTTGAATATGCCAGGGGTGAAAGAGACCTTGTCTCCTGCTTCATTTTTTAAATCTCCCAAGGAAGCAGTAATGTTCCTCTTGTCAAGGAGAATACGGAGAACCCTCATGCACAGGCATGGCTTAAACTATTGTAGATTCCCTAGTACCAGACCCATGTGACCGTCGGGAAACTGAGGCTTAGAATGGTAGTAATTTGATAACTACAGGTAGTTAGTGAAGCCACCAGGACTAGAAATGCCAGTCGCTGATCCCGAACCCCTACTTTTGTTATTGTGTAAAGACAGGAGGCAGAGCTCGAGCTGACTTAACCTCACAGAATAGGCAGTGCTGACTTAACCTCATGGAATAGATCCCCAGATTGTCTGGTCTTTTTTTGCTTTTGTTTTATTGCGCTTACCAAATGATGAAGGGGAAAAGGGAATCTGTTCCTTTCCTCCTCCTTTTGGAAGAGGCATAAGCACAGCTGACACACAGACCAGAGTATTAAAGGCAAAAATAAAAGCCACTTTTACCTTTCTTTCTAAAACGAACGGATTTTATGTTCCTTCCTCTGAAATGATTGGATTTCTTCAAAGGCAGAACTCCATAAGGCCAGGTGGCCATGCTAATGGTCATCTAGGGAACTTTTATGAAAGCATGTGTGTCTCCTGCAAGTTATGATTTATGGTTAATGCAGCCATCCTGCTGCAAGAGTCTTTATAGGTCAAAGACCCTCATGAATGTTTGAAAAGCTGTTACCAATTTTTCTAATCTTGGTGGTGTTTCTTGATCTCTTTTGCCATGAAATCCTGGTTTGTGTATAAGGAACAGATGGGGTAGTTAATAGAATAATGATAACCAGAATTTCTTTTATTGTGGAGCCAAAGCATATAACTGCAAAAGAATATTAAACTAACCTTCATTGCAGGATATAATTTAAACTTACTTGTGTTTGATCATTAGGGTTTTCCACCCATGTTTATTTTTAAATATGAAGATTTAATATCTGATTGGGCCAGTAGAACAGCTACAGACCATGTTTGGTCCTAGGAGACCTGTTGTCATTATAATAGATATTGATGGAAATTTTTTCCTTGTTGACGATTTACAAGTGATGATATGAGTCTTTAGCCACACTCGTCTTTTTAACATGAGGCACTAAAACTTTCCCTTTCTTTCTCCCTGCATTATGTCTGACAAGTCCCAAATTAGGTTTTACAATATTCAGATGTTTAGAGATATAGGCTTCATTTTACTAAGTCACTACTGGGCTGCTTTTGTGAAATAAGAAATAACATGAAGAAAAATGATTTTCTATATGAAGCACATGTTCCCTCAAATGATAACAGATTTATCTGCCGATTAAAGTTCTGTACCTGTCTGTAGTATTTCTAGTATCTGTGAAGATGGGTATTCAGAACTGGGGGTTATTTTGGATTTTGAATTAGTTGAACATTTTGAGGGTAGATGGGTAGAAGTGTCGCTTAGACCTTCTACAACTGAGTGCCTTTCTGCAATGGGAAGGTGCCAGTGTGTTTCTTGTGTTGCAGTAAAATAACTGGCATCCTCAGGGAAGGGGCCGCCTCTCTTCAGGGATTGCTGGAGCAGCCGATGGCATTGAGTGACATGCCACAAACTCGCCATTATCTTTGGACCGACCGCCCCCTTCCTTTTGTTAGTTGTAAAGTAGATATAGTCTCTGTATTTTGACCATTTACCCGCCAGGAACGTTTTTTGATTTTGTCTTTTTGGTGAGAAGTATAGAAAGCAAGATTTGGAGCTGTGCCACAGTCTCCTTTCCTACTGGAATGTGAAACTTGCTGGTAGGCGTCCCCCACCGAGGGGTGGAAGCTGAGTCCTTCTGACTGTTCTAGAGAGTAGACACCAATTTGAGGAAGGGCGTCCATACTTAAAAGTACATCCAGATTCTACTTCAGTCCCAAATTATTATGAGGATTTGAGAAGTGTACTTAAATCCTCCCATGTTGAGTATCCTAATATTAATATTCTGACATGGGAAATGTGAGAGAATGTGGGAGCTAAGGTTTTGGAGGTACTTAATAAATCCCCTGTTATTTTTACTGCTTGTCAGAATTAGCCCCATAATGCTCAACAATATTAGTAAATGTTTATTTTAATCATTTATTTTTGTGACCTTCAAGCACAGTCAGTAAAATCACATCAAGATGGAGGAGTTGTAATAATCAATAAGAATGAATACAGGCTCTGAATGGGCAGTTTTCTGAAGAAGAGACACAAATGGTCAAAAACATAAGAAGATGCCCAGCATCACTGGTCATCACAACTAAATGAGGCCCCATCTCACAGACAGTAGGATGCCTAATGATAATACAAGAGATGATGAGAAGACATGTTGGTGAGGACGTGGAGAAAGCTGGACCCGTATGCATTACTGTATGACTATAAAATGGTGCAGTCTTTGGTAAGCATTCTAGCAGTTCCTCAAATGGTGAATCCTGGAATTACGGCAGGAGCCAGCAGATCCACTCCTTGCTGTGACCAAGACAACTGACAACATCTGTCCACATAAAAATTGTCATGTGAATATTTATTTCAGCATTATTCACAATGATCAAAAGGTAGAAATAGCTCGATTGTCTATGGACTGATGAATGAAGAAAGCAAAGGTATATCCCTAGAATGGAATATTATTTGCCCATTTTTTGAAAACGAACTACTGATTCATGCCACAACATGGTTAATAAACTTTGACAACATTATGCTAAATGAAATAAGACAGACACAAAACACACATATGATTCCATTTACAGAACTGTCCTTCATAGACACCACTGTAGAGAGAGAGAGAGAGAGTAGATGAGTATCTGCTTAAGCCTGGGAGGGAGGGTGGGTGATAGGTAAAGGGCAAATGTTGCTTTCTTAGGCAATGGAAGTGGATTGTGGTGATGATGGCACCACTTTATGAATACCATCAAGTCATAAAAATTAGTATATTGTATAGTTTATCAGTTACATCTCAGTGGAACTGCTATAAAAACATAATCAATAGACACAAGTACTTTACATGACAGCTATATAAAAACCTAGAATCATATCAGATTATCAGTTGGAATGAGACTCATGTGTTTTGTTATTTCATTGTTAACATGAAAATATTTTTATAGCACCTGGACATTTTAGTGGGAAATAGTTAAGCTATTTCCCTTTTAATCTTGTATGTTAGGAAAATATTTTATTTATCACCAACTGAAATTTTAAGATGGCCTCAGGATCAATTAGCAAAAATTCTGAATATGAAATCTCAGAAAACCAGGATTACCCTACAGTGTTCTTTTTTTTGGCTTGTGTTTTAATTTCTATAGTTTTTTAAAACAATGAGAAGTGTAAACTCGGGCCTGTCCTATGTTGGGTGATACGGAGACATATGACGTGAGACCTGTGGAAAAGGGTAGGCATTTCATTACCAGCAAAAATCACATTAATTAAACATTTGAAACATCACCTTATAAAGGGCATGAAAATGAAAGGAAAGAAGGAGATGAAGAAACAAACTATTACTTCTTTTGTGAACCAGAATAAGATTGGTAATTAACAGGGAAAGAATACCTTCTTCCAAAACAAATTGCACAGCAGTGGGTCATTAAGGAAAATGTGAGAAGTAAACGCTAACTGATTGAATAGCCCGATGGGAAGGCCTGGCACAGTGACCTTTATTAATAGGATGTTTGCGTTATTTAATGGCGACCCTGTCTCTCCCTCATTTTATCTGGCAACCAGTTCCTTGAAAATGCTGTTAATAGAAACTGTGATCTCTGAGATGGAATCATAGTCACAGGACAGGGGTTGATACAGGTCACTGTGGTCATCGCAGCCCCAGGGCGTGCCCAGCCCAGAAACCCCTTGGGCTTTGCCTCCACTGTGTGGAGCTGGGGACAAGAAGGCCCTGTCAGCCATTCCCCTGACTGTAGTCTGACTTGTAGGGTAAATAAAAAGTATCAGGCTTTTCTGCCCTCCCACCATTAGGATTGATGATGGATCTGTGATCTGAGTGCAAGCCTGATGGCAGGCACCTGGAATAGGGTGTGGGCATATGTAGATGGGATTCACCTGGGCTAAGACTGGGCTTATAAGGGTGGCATCACGGGGCCGCCAGCAGAAGCAGGAGAGCAGAGAAGCAGAGAGAATGCGAGAGAAGGCTGGACAGCCCAGAAAGAGTGAAGACCTGCTGGGGGCTGGGAGGCCTGCCAGTCTCCCAGCCTCCTGGCACCCCTGCCTGCTGTGTACCTGGTAAATCCCAATAAAAGCCTGCAAAAGACACTGAGAAACCCACCAAGGGCTCCAGGACTCTTCTTTACCCTGTCTGCTCGGATCATAGAAAACCCGCACTGTCCCTTCCTGCCATTACAGACTTACTGAACATCCCCACATGTTAAGAAGCTTCAAACTGAAAGAATCTGCTCCCTCTGCCCATCGCCCCTTCGGGCCCTGTCTCCAGTGCCAGCCATGTTCTAGATCAACTAGGTGGGCTCTGTGGATTCCGGGCAGGATGATCATGGCCTGTCCTCACAGAGAGTTCGCTATTTGCCATCTTATTTTGAGGAGTATTACTTGCCTCAGAAAATGACATAAATTGCTTTATCGTCTTTGCTTCCAGAACAAGAGGTGTGACAAGAACAGTCTGTGGCTGTGTTCTGTAACCTTTCCATGTGCCCGTAGGCTCTTCAGGATATCAGGGCTACTACCCCAACGGCTGGCGGGGTTACCCTGAGGAGGCACCCAGGAACTATGAGGCCTACACTGCGGGGCTGAGCGAGGAGGAGCAGCTGGAGAGAGCACTCAGGGCCAGCCTCTGGGACCGAGGTAGGATGTGGCCTTTGTTTATTTTGAACTCATCTCACAAGATGAAGTGGTCTGAAAAGAGTATTTGGAGCAAACGAAAATCTAAGTAGTTTATAAAAAGGACATGTAGATGGAAAATGTGTGCAGATTGTGATCCAAAGAATGGGGTGTGGTACCGTGCTCCCACAACCTGGCTGGAAGGTGCCAGACTATGTGTTGTGAAGCGCTGCTTTTTATAGGCCTGCTGCACGCTATGCTCTGGCATTAAAGTCAAGAAACCGCCAAAAGAAAATTTAGGTGCATGAAAAATGTAGATTCCTGTGGTCCTGATTTGTCGAGCTGGCTCTGGGTCACTGTATGTCAGTGTTGCCCGGAAAACTTTCTCAAAAATCACACAGACAACTTGGTGAGACTGAACTCAGTCTCTCTAGGCACAGAGCTGAGGATTTGCATTTCTGACCAGCTCTTCCAAACTGGTCTTTTCAAAACTGGTATATAAGAACTTCTGTATTTATTTTGCCATCTTTATTCTGGGTTTGGCTTATGATTTTGGCATTACCATTGTTTTAACAGTAACGAAGCATCATCTGTGCAAAGTAAAACATCATCTTTGCCTTCAGTCAGCATTCATGAAGGTCTTAGTATATTTCACATACCATGTTAGGTCCAATATGGACTCAGAGGTAACCCTGCCTGATGCCCTGATGCAGCAACAGTGACACCTGGGGCCTGAGTGACTCAGGCTAAGTGCTTCCAACAGTGGGAGGGGTGGCTTTTTCTTAAGGAGAGCTGTCAGAATTTCACAGAGGAGGTGGCCTTTGGATTGGACCTTGGAGAATGTGCTGCGATGTGGAAGGGTCTTGCAGATCGCATCCACCATCTCTAGATCAAATTTTTAACAGAGCATTAAAAGAAGCCTGGGAAGTTAGGCCAGGGCTGTTCCAGCGGACCCAGAATTAAGGAGGACAAGTGGAGAAGGAATCTGGTCTGTGGGGTAAATGCAGCCACTTCTAAGGAATAGTCTCAACAGCAATGTGTGTGAGGTGGGGGATGATGGCAAGAGGAAGCAAATGGGAAAACTTGCTTGCCTAGTCTGGACAGAGAAATGAAAGCCTGAATTAGGAAGGTGGCTGGGGAGGCAAAGAGGTGTTTCTCAGGTGGAGAGTGTCAGACTGTTGCATCAGCTATGGTCACAGTGTAACAAGTCACCCTGACACATGTGGGTGGAAACCGTAACATTTCAGGATGGACTGATCTTTTAGCAATGACTCCACAAGCATATACACAGCTTGATTCTCAGTGATGCAGACCTGCAACTTATATAATGTTATAATACAGTGTTACCTCGATAAAAATAAAGTAAAACAAAAAGACAGTAACATCCCTTGTCCTCCCCATTGTACAAGCCCAGCTAGCTGGGTGGCTGATCTAGAGTGCACTGTATCCATCCCTGGTTGACTGTGGCCTGAGGTGACAGTGGACGCTGGACCCTCATCCAAGACCCCAGTATGGCAGTTCCCAGGGAGGACATGGAGACAGGGGCTTTGCTGGTGCCTTGTCAGTTCTACGGAAATTTGTTGCAGGAACAAGTCACTTGGCCAACCTGACTTCGTGGGATAGGGATATAGACTCCGCCTTGTGATGGGAGGAGCTTCAGAGTGATGTGGCATGATGTGGCTGGGAGGAGCTGGAGCATAGGGACCATGCCTGAAGTGGCTCTGTCACAGGTGGTCAGGGGTGGACGGTATCACAGCGTGGCAAGCGTGCCTTAGCCATGTGAGACTGAAACTGGGGGGTAGGGCCTCCGAGCCTGTGTCTTAACTAATTCTCATGGTTACGCCTATGCACACCAGAGTTTCATCATTACTCAGTAAGAAATGAGATATTTGGGGAAAACAAAGCCGCTCAGCTCGGACTTGGTCCAACCCATCTCCGTCCCCACCTAGGCTGACTTCAGATAATATCCCAGGAGCCACAGCCCCAGTATGATAGATGAGATTTAGACCTCCATGTCTCCTTATTACCTACTGTCAAGAAAATGTGTAGTCTCTGGAGTAGCAAGACTTCAAATACAATTAAAAGATGGTCAAAAATCAGGAAAGATCTGGGTCACCTGAGACAGTGTTTGAATTAGGTTGTAGGAATTCTCCATAGACAGAGAAATGAAATGCAAGAAGAGCATACTTTGTGTAAAAGTTTATTATATGCCCCGTCAGTGGTGACACAATTAGCGGGCAATACAGGTATCTCGCTCAGAAGGAGAAAGAAAATATGACTTCCAAAAATAATTTGGTGGTTGTATCTCTCAGAGAATGAGTGTGAAAGGCCTGCATGTGAAAACATCATCTGATGTGCCTGGAGATTTTGCACTAATTTCAGAGAATTTTAAATATAGCTACAGAGAAAGGGTCTGGCATTTTTGCTCATCAGGAGGAAATTAGAGTAGATTTTTGAGACTATAGAGAAATACACAAGGAAATATATATTACTAGGTTAATGTAAATACTATTTTTTTTTGCTGAAAAACACATGGTATTTAGTAACAGAAAAAACCAGACTCATCCCACTTTTAGAAATTTCAAAAGTAATCTGATAGTACAGTGTTGGTTTTTCATTAATTTTAAATCATATTCCTTAATAAAAACTTCTCATGAAGATAGCACAGAAAAAAATCAGCATACTAAATAGTAGAAAATTCTGTTATCTGTATTTCAAGTTATTTTTCTTTTTTGTCATCTCCTCAGAACACTTCAATAAAGTCAAGAATTTGTACTTTAGGGCCTCCCTGGTGGCATAGGGGTTAAGTCTCAGCGCTATCATGCTATCACCTCAGCAGCCTGAGTTCCATCCCCAGGCCAGGGAGCTGACCCACATGGCGCAGCAGACCTCTCCTGTCTTGCTCCCTGCTCCCCTCAGCAGTGTATTTCAGTAGCTCTGCTGTTCTGCTCCCCACCCTGTCGCTGGTGAATCCTCTCACCCCCCACCCCAACCACACCCCTGGCCTACACCCCAGCTTTTGTATGTGTAAATAAATAAAATCTTTAAAAAAAGGAATTTCTACTTTCAAGAAAGCTTTCAAATATCAGGGACTTTAAGACTGACTTGGTAAGAAAAATGTTCTTGCAATTGTTTTGAAGCCAAGGGTTTAGTTTCTACAGCTGATTTTTTGGTCTGGAAAAACCCAGCTTCCTCTTTGTGAGGATGGAGTTAATTCTCATGTTCATTACAGTCTTCAACTGCTGTCACCAGGAGGTCCAGAGTCTGCTGAATTATGTTTCCCATCTCACCTTTCATTTTAACGAAGTCATTGATTTCTTTTCTTTTTCCCTTTCTTTCACAAATGTATTTCAGAATAGAAAAGCCTTCTCTTTTTTTCCATTCATAGAAAAGTCACAGAAGCACCCAGTACTTGACATTTGTCATTCTGAGGGCCACACAGCACAGCTGAATCATCGTGGTCTTAGTTAACTTTCTGATCGGAGTGACTGTTCCACTGCTAGCATTGCGGGTTCTTCTTAATTTTATGGACTAGAAAACTTACGCCCCTAAAAGAGTGCTTATTGAATGTGTTGTGTTGAGAAAATTAAGTAGGCTGGGGAGAAGTCGGGATAGATGCTGACACTATAGAAATGTGAAACTATAATGGAATTTTAAACTAATTGAATTACATGTAAACATAATAAAGACTTAAAAGGAAAACTATCATTAAAAAAACACATGAAGTAGTTACTTGACTCATTGTTGGATTTAGGACTTTCTGAAACAGAAAAACAATGAAAAATAGAGAAGAATTAGCCTTTTTAAGGAAAAAAAAATTGATGAAGAATCAATACGCACATATAAAGTACCATATAGTGCAAGAGCTGATGGAAAAGTGGAAGAAAAATTGAACAAATAATTAAAAAAATGACTGAGAAGCAGCCAGTGTACATCTGAAAGTATTTCACTCTAGATTAGCAGAGAGTTGCCTTTTCCCCCATGTCACTCCATTGATAAGCATTTCATGCTGCTGATGAGAGTGCGGATTGGTATAACCTTTCTGAAAAAGACACTGGAAATAGTAAGACACTTACCTTCCGTGATTCCTTGACTAGGAATCTAGCCTAAGAGATGAATGACCCCCTGGTCTAAAATGTCCTTACAAGTTATTCATTCCACAGCTAGACATAATCCTGGAAAACATTGTCAATTGAAATCTGCATAATGGTGTGAGCAAGGGTTCAATCAGGTACCATTTAGTTGTAAAACAGGCGTGCCACACATTAATTAAAGGTAATATTTTTGGAAAATTAAATGGTGTGAAAATATGATTACAATATAGTGGTGAACGGAACAAAATAAGGTCCAAATCGGCCTGTGCCATATGTGGTCAGAATTGCATAAAAACTCAAAGCAAGTATTTTCCCATATCAAAGATGACTAAAAAATAGGAAAGACCTTAAAAAAGTCTCCTTTTTCATGCTTAATAGGTGAAGTTTTTAAAGATACTTCATGAAGTGTTTTAAGAAAAATAAAATTTAAAGGAATATAAGCAATTTATAAGCTATTTCCTTTGCTACTCCCATTGCTGTATAATGTACCTCAAGAAGTCTCTGTAGATCACTGTCCTCAGAACTAGTTCCATATGCTCTTGAAATCATTCATTGAAAATAAACTTCTGTGGTCAAACACGTTTGGAAAACATTAATTTAATAAATTGGATTCTTAATTGCAGAACTAATTAGAAGCATCAGTATACCATATCATTCTGGACCTTCAAAGGGGTATAATTTGCAGTGTTTCCCAGATTTATTTGGATGTAAAACTTGTGGTGGCCGGAGAGTGGGGGAGTGAGAGGGAGAAAAAAGAGGGATGAGGAGGGAGGAGCTGTTTTGTCTGACCCTTTGAAAATAATTCACCCTGGATTAGCAGAGAATTGCATTTTAGATGCAGAGATCACATTATTTTGCATCTAAATACTCCAGTATGGTTCTCCTATGAACAAGGGGGTTCTGCTTGTCACCCACATCATCATTGTCTTG